TCTCTAGTTTCTTGCATTCTAATATCCTCTGCTGTCAATGGGTGAATACCAAATGCTTGGGCTAGCATCTTCATTTCTGCATCAGTGGGACATGTACAATCCAACCACCAAGTTTCTTCTCCATTATGGAAAAGCTCTTGTATTGATTCACCGTTTGACACAAGCGACAGAAAATCATGTGCATGAACAGTCTCTTCCGATTTGGAATGGAAAAGAGAGAATCTGTCTGGTAAAGCATCACTCATGCCATCAGCGATTCGGGTCCCACCAAACCTGACGTCTTTTTCAGAAATATCATCAGGATTGAAGTCCAGGTTGTCATCCTTCTCAGAAAATGTTGGCGCTGCTATAGCAGTGCTCTGTTCTCTAGCTGCTGGTCCCTTGACAATCAGCTTCAATACATTCTCGGGAGTGTATCTCAAACTAGCTAAGCCATGCACACAAGATCCACGGCGGCTGTCTTGACCTTGAAAAGCAGCATGTTCTTTTTCCTCCTCAATGAATTTATCGATGACACCAAAATCTATTCCACGCACCTTAACTTGTTTCTCCTCCATGGGGAACCAAACATCGTCCTCGGTTCCTTGGGATTCCCTTGATCCCACAGAGTCGGCATTGCTGTTCAAAGATGTACGCGAGAATCCACGTGGTTTGGCATAATCGTCCTTGTCACCACTACTGTCATTCACACCATGTTGATTACTCTCCTCTTTCAGACCAATAATTTTGCCGACTGAGTGCGTAAGCTTTGTGATTGATGAAGCTCTTGCTCTCCCAAAAGCTGATCCTCTTCTTCCAGGCAGTTTTCCAGTGTGCGTGTCTCCATCAAAATTACCACGATGCTCAGTTGGTTTGACTTTGTTGGGTTGGCCATTCTCCCCGTCAGAAATGTGATTTCTGTTGAAGTCGTCCAACTCCACATCTGTAGATGGAGTGGTTGATTTAGGATCAACACTTGGTTCAATTTCTTTTGACAACATTGTTCTAATTTTGGTTTCCTTTCGTTCAGGTCGAGGGGCTCTTTGCAATAACGAAGCTTTCTATTGCTGTGTCTAGTTGTATCCTAAAGGGCTTTCATAGGTGGATACAACTTCTATAGTTTCTGCGTCTTTGGAGGATGTGTGACTGTTTAGTTTCTCATCAATGTGTCGCTTGTGGTAAATGGGCTTGTTGAAGTTGATCTATAATTGAGATCAGTCATCCGTTACAAAAGTTTTGCTGTTTGGTATGGAAAAAAAAAAGGGGTGAATATCTTTCATTCAAAATGAGTCGAAATATCCCACGACACGGCTCTCTTTATATAACATTCGAAGGATCCACAATGGTGATAAAAATAGATCAGTCGACTGTATGTTGCATTCTATTTTTGGAAAAAAAAAAAAAATATGTATATATATTCAAGGTTGAACAAAAAGAATGATTAATTACTTACGAGCAATTGCGATGAGAGATGAGACGATGAGCAGAAGATGAAGAAGATGAATACTGAGGGATTTTAAGTTTTGCTCAAAAGTTTAGAGTTTGAGTTACGATGAAGAGATATATTAAACCTAATATTAACAAAGGGTTACATTTGTCATCCCTACATGCTATCAAACAACAATATTATGTTATAGAACACCACTATGGATGATGACATCCGAATACACACCTATGCGGCAGATGGGTTTGTTCTGTAAAGACACATGCAGGTCTCGTGGTGGTTATTAGGTTAAGATACACGACGATAGTTGCAGTAGTAATGCTGTAAAAAGAGACTGAACTCAGTACATGACACAAAACAAAAAAAAACACCAAAAAAAAAAAAAAAGAAATTTTCCAAACAGACACGCCTTGAATTTCAGGATACAATAGGGAAGAAAGGAGTTACTTCTCACAAGCTCGAAAGATGGGTGTGGTTGAGATGCCATCAACTGGACTCTCCAAACCCAGTGAACAAAAGCAAGTCTGTATGACCCCATGGGAGGAACAGAGAATGTGCATACTCTTGACGAGTATTTAGTCCACAATTCGAACCAACGCTGACAAAACGAGATGAGTCAGAGGTCGTAAAAAATCGTCAGTTTATCTGTGTAGAGTAAGTTTATTTTTAGTAGTTGAGGATTCACGAAGAGAATAGGAGAAACACCGAAATTTCATTGAGGTATAGAACAAGTAAGGTTTAAAAAAGAGGCACATGGAGGGGGGAGGGGGCTATGCTGAGTCACAATTGTTGCGAAACCAAAGGCAAGCCAACAGTGGGAACGGGTGATGGATCACTATTTTTTACAGTGACATTTAGGCTTAGAATATCCAGTTCAAAAGTCCCTTCCATTTGCCCTTCTTCTCATCCTGACTACTCTCCTCCATTTGTGCATAAAATTCAGCTTCGTGCGCTTCAATCTCATCTAGACCAGTTGTCAAGTCCGCATCTATCGGTTTGATGAACCTGGTTCTCTTAAGCACCTTCCACACAATGAATACCGCTAACGAGACAAATATCATAACATAACTGAATAAGAAATCATCAACCGTCCACATACCCGGCAAAAACACTTGATATCCCAAACAACCAATAATACACCAATATATGAACGTGGTAAAATAGATTGAATACGGTTGAAACCAGGATCTGTAAGGGAATTTGGATCGATCAATCCCTTGTGCTTTAACTGCATGATAAAATCCAATGTAAATGATACCCATGAATCCATAGTTGAGGACTTGTGCTCCCGTACACAAGTTCACCATATAATTTAAAGCTTTACTACCAGAATTGCCCAACTGCAACAAGGACAATAATGCAAAACAGCAAGAAACAAAGACACAGTAGATGGGAATACCCCTCTTGGTACAAATTTTAAAGAATCTTGGGACAAACCCCTTTTTGGCCAAGTTGTACAAACTTCTCGAGGAGGTATATGTGTACGAACAACCAGCTGAAAATGCCGATGTTAGCACCACTGCATTGACAATGTGGGGTAGCACCTGAATTCCCAAGTTTTGCATGGCAACAACGTATGGAGAAGAAGCAGCGCTTGAAGTGTCCGACGTCAATGCGACATATTTGGGGTCATTGTAAGCTATCAAAATTGAAACTGATAAAGCACCTCCAATGTAAAATGCCACCAACCGATACAACACAGTTCGAAAGGCAATGGGCATGTTGACTCTGGGGTTGATACACTCACCCGCAGTCATACTCAAGTATTCACTACCAACGCAAGTAAAAGTACTGGACAATCTAAGCGAAGCTAAAAAGCCTTGAAATCTTCCCAAACTCCCAGTTGCATACTTCATTCCTATGGGCCCGCCTGCCACATGCCAATTCCTAAAACCAAATGCATCATGTTGCGGGTTTCCGCCACACATTGTGACCAAAGTGAAAAACATCAATCCAATACATAGAATCAACTTTGCCAAAGAGAACCAAAACTCACATTCACCAAATACTCGAACCGCATACAAGTTGATGGCGGCGTAAATGGCAATTTGAATGACAAATGTGATTGCTGGTGAGTAATCGTCACGCCAAAAGTGAATTATACCATTCACAGCAGTAATTTCAAAGGGGATGTAGAGACTCTGCATGATCCAAAAATTCACTGATACGGCTGCTTCAAATGCAGGATCAATAACTCGACCGGCCATATTAAGGAAAGGGGCATCTAGCGGCAAGTACAGCACCATTTCTCCAGTTGCTGTAGTCAACAAGAGAATCAATAACGTCGATATACAATACGATAATAATAAACCCAACGGTCCACCATTAACCAAACCAGTAGTACCAATTGTCACAAACAAACCGGTACCAATAGAGCCACCGATGGCTATGAGTTGCAAATGCCTATTGTATAATGTTCTTTTCGTATGGCCAACGCCACCTACGCTAGACGCTTTGTCGGTACTAATGCTGGAAGTGTCGTTGAATAAATCACCTTCTTCAGTGGAGCCCTTGTTGATGATCTTTTCTCCAAGGGAGTTTTTGTCATTGTCGGTGACACCTTGTTTTTCATCTCTTCCAAACCACATATTTCAGAAAGGGATTATTGAGTGCAAAATGATCTGTATTGTGTTGGGGCGCAAGACAAAGGAGTCTAATGGAGGGACAATCGAAGTAAACCGGTTTAAGGGAAGGACGGAAGGAAGGTATGATGGTTCAGTGTCTTTTTCAAATAGTTACTTGATTTACTATCAAAAGGTGCGCTGATAGTGAAGATGGTTCAAAAAAAGGGGTCCTTGTTGTGAAAGCAAAGGGTTGAAAATATAGCTCAAAAAATTATACTACATCTTTACAAAAGTCCGAAGCCAAGGAAAACTGTCTTCTATTTATTTGATATTGGAACATCTGTTGTGGGAGAGGTCTTGAAATATTTATTGAAGAAAACTCCTTCTTCCTCCTGCGTTCAGTGCGTTTGTGTAGCTATTCTTTGCTTGTATTGTTTTGGTGTATTGTTTTTTTTTTTTCAAAAATATGCATCCGATTTGTACAAGATATCAGCTTCTTATCTGACATAGTTGACTGCGGCAGCTGTTCTAGAGAGAGAGATGGGGAGTATTGTGGTAACGTACAGATAAGCTACGAGTGTGCAGAGTATTTTTGACTCCGATATTGGGGACCCCCATACTTTGTATCAACACTGATAAAGAAGAAGAGGAATGGGGAAAAAAGATCCGTGAGGCGAATTCTATACAAAAAAAAAGAGAAAAAAAGAAATTTAATCTTTTTTGTTTTTTATTTTTTTGACAATAGAAGAAGATAATATTAAGTATGGTATGGTATGTATGGTATGTATGGTATGTAGTAGTATATGCAACACAAACCCACGCTCTTTCTTTATACACTAATACAATTAAAACTGATAAATTAATTAGATAAGGACACGATTTTCATTTCAAGTCTCCAATACATTTATATATACAGCTTAGTTAGAATTAGCTTTGTATAGGCTTAGAATAAGCTTCGAATGTAAAAAAGAAGAACCAAAAAAAAAAAACAAAAAAAAACAAACAAACAAAAGCGAAACTTTCTCGTAACTTGTCTCAGAATAGGAAATATAAGAGATCGGATAAATTACACTACGACACAGTACACTCTTACTACTGACCTACCAATACAGCTGGCAAAAGAAAAAAATGCAATTTCCTTCGAATCTTATACCTCTGGTCCAAGATTGGGTCTCGCAGTTATTGCTAAGCAGAGGCATGACGGTTTATTTCCTATGACGTAACCAGAGTACAAGCACTTTTTTAGTGTTTATTTTTTCCACGTCCTACAAATTTTAATTTTCCAGTGCGGCATTATGACGTCGTTCGACCGAGGGTGTGGAGGAAGAGCGGCGAGCGCTGCACCACCGAGTGAGTCTCATCCCCTCTTATTTGTCCATTATAATAGGGTAAGATCTCCACCAAACCACGGTTATTGTTAGAGTGGTCGAACCCCAGCCCTCTATTGTTTAGTTTTCGAAGAATAATAGTAAGGCGCGTATCTGTATGTTTCACCTGTACATGCAATGGTTGTATTGTAATTGTTTACAACTCTCTCTCTCTCTCTCTCTCTCTCTCTATTGTCTATGCAATGGCCCTGCAAGTTCTACTTTGGGGCAGTACTTGGATCCAATTTTCTTAACCCTATGCAGAAGAAGAACCACAAAAATAAAAACAAACTATATTCCCCTCCACTCTTGTTTTGAAAAAATGGTCACGAGATGCTTACTACAATCAAGCTGGTCTTGTGGGGTTGGGCCAACTGTCAACTCACACTCTCCTAAATCTGTATCAGAATACAAAGACGAATCAACCAAGACCCTTCATGGTCAATGTGCTACACAAAATTGATCAAGTTCAGCAGTTTATCTGCTTCCTTTTCAGCAAAAGTTCGACAGATTCGAAAACAAAAAGCTCGGTCTAATATATAGAGAACAAACAGCTACGAAAAAAAAAAAAAAAAAAAAAAATACTTCACTATTAACTACGCCCTCTTTTGTACTACTCATCTACATGTCTTCCCATCTACACTACAAATTAACTGCAAAGAAAAAGAAAAATTTTTATTTTCTTTTCTTCTTCGCTCTCTGTCAACAAAGAAGGAAAGCCAAGAAAAAAAAAAAAAAAAAAAAAAAAAAAAAAAAAAAAAAAAAAAAAAAGAAACAAATATACTCTCTTCTTTGCATAGTTGGTGCATGTTACACTACTTTCTATGCACATTGGGTTAAAACATCCCTTGCTTTCGAATCGGGTATATCCATACTGATGTCCTCAGTATTAGGTCCATAATGTGTTGTCACCAGTTTGGAAGCGCTCACCCATGCTACAGTCACTGACCTCTCCGTCAAACTGGAGATGGACAAACGACGTAAGATAATGTGTTTGTGTAACACGTAAAACTCGCATGAATATTACCTATACAACTACTATGTGGTTCTGAATATCAGAGTCCACGGGGGAGGGTGCAGGGTATTGACACTTTCCGCCAAGATTTCAGTTACCACAACTCTTTCCATAACACCAGTAAGGATTTACACACCTTTCTTCCCCCTTTTTGTATTTCAGTATACACCTCACACATTTCTTAGCGACGAATTACAAAACGAAGTTGGAATCCCAAAGACAGGGTTCACAGCGTATGTAAAAGTGGTTTCATTTGTGCTATTCTCAACTATCCTAAAAGCCAAGCTGCTGTTTTCCCCATCGTCAATCAAACGATAGTCATGCTCACAACAACTGAGGCCACACAATGCATAATTTGTATGATAAAAGTCAACCAGTTTTCCTGGCTTGTCACGGAATCCACCAGATTTAACTTGAGCAATTCGCAAAATGTAATTTCTCAAAGCCTCTTTGTTGAATGTGTGGGACTTTTGTAAAACATCAATCATGGGCATCAAGGCTCCAATCCAAAAACTATAACAAACATCTACCAACTTATTGGTCCTTCCTGAAAATCCACCTTCACATGTTTGTCGAGCAACGCACCACCTAACAAATTTGTCAAAATTGATTTGCCCAATTATATCCTGTGGAGCCGTGTTCAATATAAACAATGACGAAAACGCACAAAACGTATACCCTCCATGAGCCTCGGTGTTGGGCACTCCGGCAAAACCCCCCTCATAAGTTTGACAAGAGATTATCCAATCCGCAACACCTTCAACCAATTCAGGTGTTGCGGTATTCAACAAGACACAAATCACCAACGCACAATACGTTGACCTCGTGTCGTATTCCCCCAATCCATGCATGAGGAATGACGATCCCTGCTTTGTCTTTCGCTTTAGACCCATGATCCACGTATACAAGTTGGTCCGTATCTTTAGCAATGTTGGTGTGTTTCGAGTAAGAACTAAGGTCAACACAGCAGCATAAGTCGATGCTAAATGACCCATCTGATTTGCTCCACCGGCAATGCCACCTCTTCCTTCATCAATAATGCAGGACTCGATTTTCCTGTTGACCAAATTGACAATGTCTTTACTCAATCTCGACTCTCCATCATTGTCTTTTATCACCAAATGAGAATTTACCAACCAATACATCATCCAGGGATGGTTTGCATCGAGTGACTTGTAACCACTCGGTAATTTAGCCGTAAGACATTTCTCAATGTAGTTAAAATGTGCTTCTTTGTAAAATCTTGTCTTTGGATTCTCCAAGTATGTCTCAACCACATCGTCAAGGCATTCATCTTGCTGCTCCGTTGTGCTCGATTGGTACCCAAGCTCAATCGACGGCAAGCTTAACGTCCACTCACCTGCCAGAGCCTTATTGTGCAATTGTTTCATCATTTCGTCTCGCGTCAAATGCGTATATACTACGTCTTCAAAGTCTGTATCGGAGTTGCTGCTATGAGAATTTTTGTGATCTAAATCGTCTCCCACTTCACGCTCCACTGTATTGCGCTTGCGACCTAGTAGGTTGATAAGGTATTCGGCCTGGTCCAATTTTGAGGAAGGCATTTTTCTGTGCCAGTTCGAATGAGGTGGTTATTTAAATGCGTGTGGGTCAGTATTATATATCATCTGGGGGGTTTTCAGTGTTTCATTTTTTTCCAACCAAATTGAGACATGACAATCACAAAAGAGAGTCAATAAATAATACGCATCGTTCTTGTTATTACGGTCTCGATCATACTGATGGGGCGTGTGAGTGTTATTGTGGGAAGGATTTCTAGGATGGTATATGTCACTCGAAATTGGAGCTTCAGAGCCACGTTTGGTGGTTTCTATCTCCACCTCGAAGTCGAGCCAAGATGCAAAAGTTGCAATTGTATGATCGCTACTAGAGCGAGAAGGGGGAGGGCAACCTCTGTATCCAATCGTTTCCAATTTCCAATGAAATTGAGAACACTGACAACACCTAGCAGCTGAACTGGTGTTTGTGTCAGTCGTTTCTACTCTATCCTCCATCTTTTGATCTACTTATTCACATTTTCTTGAACTTACTGCCATTACACGAACCTGTAGCGACCGCTTAAATACGGCAACAAGGTTTAGCTACTTCAAAGACTGTCTTTCCATCCTCTGTAGTTTGATCATAAGCTTGGAAAAAAGGATTAAAGAGACTGAAGACATTGATTTGATACCTTTCCAGGTTACCACTAACCCATACGTGTATTCGTTATTGAAGACCCATAGTACTAACAGTTTCCTCTACATAAACATTCATCCTTCCCAAAAGCGTGCAGTGCCTATAATGCAAAGTTTCTTCATCTCGCTATCTAGCAGCCCTCTCACCAACTCAACTTACTTGGCCACCTTGCTCTTCTTACCCTTTTTCTTCTCCTTCTTTTTCAATCCAACAAGCCCATTCTTCAACACTCGTATATACTGCTGCCAAAACTGGTTCAATTGTTCTGCTTCCACAACGGTGGAAATCTTCAATTTCGATTGTTTCTTGTCCTTGTTGCTTTTGCTATTCATTGCAACTCTAATAAGAACGGGGTATGAGGTGCTATTCTGTATTTTTTGGTTGGGTATGACATTTGTTGGGAGATCGTCAATGCTCGACAGGTTTATACCTTGCACTTCAGATGAAGTCAATCGTTTTTGAGTCAAGTAGATGGATGATTTACCATTGTTGGTGGTCACCACTTGGTTTAACTCATGCAAAAATTGTGAGTTATCTAGTCTAGCCATTATCAAGTTGTGTGTGTCTTCTGTAGATGCTGTCTACTGGATAAAAAAAAAAAAAAAAAAATTGCACTCACTGCTGAATATTGTGGTTGATAAAGTAATTTTGTTTATTTTGGGAACAGGACGGAATTACACGTTTTATCAACACAAGATTTAACCCCGATACTATACACAAGTATTTATTACCACCCACAATTGGATCAGCTGTTGCAATTAACTGGTTCTTGAGATAGCAAGTAATAGCACAATTCATCCCACTTTCTCACTACATTTGCGGGTCTCAAATCGCCTACCACCCTCCCCTCTCTTGCTAAAGTGGCCCCGACAACGTTTCAACTAGGCCATGTCACAAACTCTTGAGCAACAACAGCAGCACCACCATGCAAAGCAAATGTCAACCCACTTTCCCAAAAGATTGACGGCATTACTTGTGTCTGTTTTCGTTGCTTTGGCATCTGGCACGCCTTACATGTATGGTGTGTATTCGCCTCAGTTTGTGAAGCACATTGGGCTAACGGCTTCACATTCTGCAACCATATCATTGGCTACTAATATAGGGTCTGGTATTGGTGGCTTACCAGGTGGACTTCTTATTGACCATTTTGGCCCTCAATTCAGCATATTTATTGGTTCATTGTGTATATTTGTGGGGTATTTCACGGTGTTCAAAATCTACTACCATCAGTACAGTAATATGTTTGTTATATGTATTGCTATGGCTTTGATGGGATTTGGATCAATTACAAGCTATTTCGCAACTTTGAAAGCATCTCAAGCCAACTTTCCCAAACACAAGGGTGTTGCTGGTGCGTTACCCGTGAGCTGCTTTGGATTTTCCGCCACAGTATTTTCCATTATATCGGCATCATTCTTTAAGGACGATACTGGTGGACTTTTACAATTTTTGGCCTTTTTCTGTGGATCTGTGACACTCTTGGGCTCATTCTTTGTTCATGTATACGTTAGTGATGATGAGGAGGACGAACGTGAACATCATAATCGATTGGAGTCAAATAACGAAAGTGGAACGAATCAAGCTTTGCTTTCAGACGCAGAAGCTTCTTTAATTTCTGACATAGAACCACCACCACAATCTTTATCTAGATCTGAATCACTTAATGGATCGTTTTCTTTTTGGGGGATTGGAAGCAGAACGCCAAGCTCTTCAATAAGCTTACAAGATTCTGAAGCAACTGAACTCAGGCAAAGCTTAATCGAGGAAGAAAGACTTGGTAAACAAAGGAAAGCAAAAGTCAGTCCCTTGGAAACAATCAAACGTCGTCTTGTTGACAAAGTGTATTTGATACATTACTTCATTGTGTCCATTACTGCTGGCGTTGGTCAAGTCTATATCTACAGCGTTGGATTTATTGTTGCTGCGCAGTACTATTACAACAAAGAACATGAGGAACATGCCAGGAACAGTATATTCGGTAGAGCTGTCCAAATTGCCCTTCACGACCCCGATGCCGCCTCCATTCAAGCGTTACAGGTGTCAATATTGTCGATTGCTTCATTCTTGGGACGTCTTGTGGCTGGTTTTCTCAGTGACTACATCCACAAAAGCTGGCACATTCAAAGGCTTTGGATTGTCTTGGCAACTTTGCTTATACTCTCGTTGGCTCAGTACATCACCATCTCAAACGTCTCCTCCTTTCATTGGACGGCAGTGGCATCCGGCTTGACCGGTGCATGCTATGGTCTCGTATTTGGCACATACCCGGCAATTATAGCTGATTCCTTTGGCACAAAGACATTTTCCACTAATTGGGGATTGATTTGCACTGGCCCTCTTGTCACATTGTATGCATTGAACAAGTACTTTGGTTGGATTTATGATTCTCAACTGGATACAGAAACTGGAATTTGTTCCCTTGGGAATGGCTGTTACAAGGGCGCATTTGAATTAAGTTTGATTTTATGCAGCATTGCCTTTGTGGTATCCGGTGCGTTGATTTACTCGCAAAGACACAAGTAGATTAAGCTATTTATTTATATATACACTATAGAGTTTCCTGTTTTCTTTGTGTGGGTATCTCTCTTCCCCCACCCCCTACGCTATGTGCAACAATGGAGTTGCCTCATCAGAACACTCCATTTACGTGCTCCCGTTTCTTGAACTGAGTTCCCGAATGTCATGGACGAGTTGTGATTGGTCAAAGTAATGCATGTGCTTCTTCAAAGTGTCACCGGTTGCCAGCTCAATGTGTAGAACCGGGACATCATAACAATACTTATCGAACCAGTCCTTATTCATGGGATCCATTATGTCTATTTTGGTAACACTGAGTTTTGTCTTGTCCACGTCGGATGATGACATAGCCTGCTCAAGTATCTCATTGGCATTTGTGCACAACATGCATTCCTTCTTCGTGAAAAAGTTGAGCAGTACTGTGGTGTTGAAGCGCGTTTGAGCCTTGATGGTTTGTGGTACTCTCCTGAGAGCCAACATTGTGTTCATGGTGAAGATCGGTGTTTCCAAAGGCAAGAAAGGCCTGCATTTTATACTCTTGTGCTATTGGAGCTACCATGCACACATAAAGTGGCTAAAGTCGATGCCAAAAGAGGTAACCATGGAACTAAGAAAGGCAAGAACTTTGCAGAAATACTCGAGGCAGGATGTTCTTTTGTCTCAAAACCTTCTTAGAATAGACAAAACGTGTATTGAAGGACGTGAATCTTTTTTTTGGTAATGCAGAAACATTTCGATGAGCCGTTGTAGGTGTGCAACTGACAAAGGCCACTCGATTTCGTACAAGAGATTGCTTCAAGAGAAAATCGAGGACCACTTCTCTTACCAGATCAAATTGAAAGATTGATCTGGTAAAGTGAATAGGTTCCAGCTGAGTTGCTATACAATTTCTTTAATTCAACCACAAGCGCACGCACGCCTTTCCTTATCAAGAAGGGAGGGTGTGGGGCAGAAATAAAAAAAAAAACGGAAAATGTTGTGCCCTTGTTCTTTTCTTTTACCCGTTCTATTCAACACACCTACATAGCAAAAGAAAGGATGGCAGGTGAACGTCAGAAAGTTGCATTGGTAACTGGAGCATCTTCAGGAATAGGGTTTGAGACCTCAATTGAACTAGCAAAGAGAGGATATGTTGTCTTTGCTGGAGCCAGAAGATTGGAGCCAATGGCGAAATTGAAGGATTACGGTGTCAAGACCTTCAAGTTGGATGTCAGTGACTTGCAAAGTGTGCAAGATGCCCGTAGCTACATTCAAAAGGAAACTGGTGGAAATTACTTGGACATTTTGTACAATAACGCAGGTCAATCTTGTACAATACCTACAACTGATGTCACTGACGAGCAAATCAAGCAATGTTTTGAAGTGAATGTGTTTGGAGCAATGCGTATGGTTAGAGAATTCATCCCACTTTTGATTAATGCAAAGGGTGTTATTGGATTCACCGGTTCCGTTAGTGGACTCAACCCATTCCCATTTTCGTGTACTTATTCTGCAACGAAAGCTGCAATCGAACTGTACGCTTCGGTTTTGAGAGTCGAAATGAAGCCATTTGGAGTGAGAGTCATTAACTTCATTACTGGTGGTGTCAATACCGACATTGAAGACAAGAGAAGTTTGCCAGAGTCGTCACTTTTCAATGTGCCAGGAATGGAGGAAGCTTTTGACGAGAGAAGACAATTGGCAGTCAAGAACAACCCACTTCCTGCTGATGTGTATGCCAAACAAGTTGCCGACGACTTTGAACGGGCCAAGTTGGGAGGCTCATTACACTTGTATCGTGGGAAAATGGGATTTTTCTTGGGTTTTATAACTCCTCTTCTTCCAAGGTTTCTTCTTGAGTGGGCTCTTGTTCGTAGGTTCAAATTTGCTGGTGTTTTCGAATACTTGAGAAAAAAGTATGCCAAAGGTTTCCCAGCTTGATGAACAAGGGAAAGCTGCAAATTTGAGTCAATATTGTTTTTATAGGAGATTTTTATAGTAAAACCTGCATCTTTGAAACGAGAGTGAAAGACTTGATTTCTAGCATGAGAGGGTTGACACCCAGTTTCGTAGAGTCACATCTCGTTCCTCTATTGCTTCCTCTCCCCTCGCTGCGTTTCCCATTTACCATTCGTCTCTTTCTATTACAGTAACTTTTCAGTGTAGCGTGGAGAGAAAGTTTGGGAAAGGCTTGGCATATCATTCATCCATTTTGGGGTTCCATTGTCAACAATTTTCTCCTTGTTCGAGTAGGCAATCAGTCACATTGAAAAGCCCTTACCAAGGGGCTTTTTCAAATCACCAGTGTTTGATGTTTTTTTCCCCCCGCCATTGAACGCTTTCAGCATAATGTGATTGAAAGATTTTGCGTCCTCGTCAACAAAGTTTTCTTTGCGTAAAACACACCCGATTGGCAACTATTTCGTGCAACCTCACCGTCAGTTAACACTATGACAAGCGAACCTTTCCTATGGTATAGAGACAAAGACAGACTAAGGATTGGTGATGTTAATAGGTACAATGTTACTTATAAGCGACAACGTGGTGCCAATACGACCCAAACTTATCTCAGAATTAAAAACATTGAAAACCCGGGAATAAGAACTATTCATTTACTAACAGGTCCATTCATATTGTACTGCCACGTCGTGCCCTGTAACTACAGGTATAGGAAGCAATTCTATCCGGCTGATGCAGGGGTAAATGCTGAGGTGGTCTTTGAGAATCAGCTCAAGCCTAACCAGTCATTTAACGTGACCTTACTTTTGAATGACAATTCTTTAGCTAAAGTTTCCAACGAGAAAGGAATTACGTATGACCACTTTCAATGGGAAATAGAAGTTATATCACAGATTGTCATTACCAAAAAGACAGAGGTGCTCTACGACATGATGATTGGAGATGATCCCCACGCCATGAAAAAGTTGGGGCATGGCAACCTTCAAAAAGCTTTGACCAGTATCGTTCCCGATAACACTGACGAAGTCAGTACTGCACAAGATGTCTTTGATCATGAAACAAAAAATCACATATTCAACCCCTATTTGAGTGTTGATAAGAAAACCACTGAAGATCTTTGGAACAAGCAGCCACCGAATCCGCTCAAACCAGTTCATTTGATAATAGTCACACACGGAATTTTCTCAAACCTCACAGCTGACATGCTCTACCTTAAAGAGACTCTTGAGAGTTCTGTGCTGGAGAACGTCATGATTCGTGGCTATCGATTCAATGCAGGGAAAACCGAAAAGGGAGTCAAAAAATTAGGTCGAAATGTGGGTGACTACGTTGTTGATGTGATCGAGAAGGAGCCTTATCGTTTTGACAAAATTTCATTCATTGCTCACTCACTTGGCGGTGTGGTTCAATTATACGCAATCAAGTATATATTGGTAACACGAGGTGTTGATTTTTTTGATCGGTTGCATATACAACCAGTCAATTTGATTTCATTAGCTAGTCCTTTCTTGGGTATCTTGAACGAACTTAATTTGGTCCTTTCGTGGATATTGGATCTTGGTACACTAGGCAAAACTGGACGTGACCTAACATTGCTGAGGAAATTTCCTAGTTGGAAAGATGTGGAAATCGGTAGTCATAAGACAAAAGATAGATTCAAGCCAGTTTTGGAAACTCTACCGGATGATCCTCTTCAAACATTTTTGGGCAAGTTTGAGCGATTAACTGTGTATGCTAATGCCATTAATGATGGTATTGTACCATTGAGAACTGCGGCTATCTTGTATCTTGATTATGAGGCATTGGGTGATGTGAATGAATTGAAGAGGACAAGTAATGTTATTGATAGACCTGAGTTGGAAAAAGACCACCATGACGTTGAGAGTAATGAAAGTCAAAATAATGTCCTGGAAGTACCCGATTCCAATGCGGCGAATGAGAAAAGTTTGGGAAGGAGCCAAGCAGCGCAAAACGAGGGGAAGCAGCAGACTGGACAAACCTCCAACTCTTTTTCCAAAGAGAAGTTGCGATTACAGAATATTCAAAAGGAGTTTGGTGAGTTTACCATTCTAAACTCCTCACAGAAGAAGCTTAGCAAGAGACAAAAGAAGTATCTGCATTTCAGTATCAAAGGAGCAGACACCAATCGCGACAGTTTGTCTGGAAGTAATGACTCTTCAACGGAGTCTACAGCGACAATCAATGTTCCGCCGCGTGCGTCTGCAATCGAGTCTGCTTTGAATACACTAATTTGTCCCATTCCATCTCAGGAATATATAATGAATCCCGAATCTAGGAAGCCGGTAATATTCCATGACAAATATTATCATTTCGATAAAACAAAAGACGAGACTGATGTCAAGCCACGTTCGTTGAAGGAGAAATTGTTTGGATATTCTGCGGATTGGAGATTACGCAAACAAGTGGTTATTGCCAATAAATATCACACTGGCAAACTTAATTGGCGTAAAGTATTGGTAAACTTACCTCCCGATGCTCATAACAATATCATTGTAAGACGGCGATTTGCTAATGGGTACGGTTGGGGGGTGATACATCATCTCTGCGAAAATTTGTTCGAAACCAATGCAGATGGCAATGGTGGACCCGAGAGTGAACTTGCAAATAATATTGATGATGATGATGATGATGATGATGGTGATGATTCAGGAGAGGGAAAGAAGCAGGAAATGCGCGAAAGTTCTAGTGTTAAAGCCAAAATCTGATTGTTTTTCATTGACACATTGAATTGCCGACTGTGACGCTAGTAGTTCAATAAAAGGAAAGAACCACATAAATGCGGTTTTTGATTATTGCGTATTTCCGACTTGGAATTAGAGTATCAATGAAAGAACTTTGAAACAGACTTTTTAAAATGTAAGAATATTCAAGGTTTCAGCAGTGACATAAAAATATCTGTGCGAGGTTGAGACTTGCAGCTTTTTCTCTATGGACAGTGCAAAAGTAGCATCCTTTGTATGTTGTGTGTAAGAATGCCCTAATACTTTTTGCGTCTTAATGTGTGTGTGAATTTGTAGTTTGTTCAATGTAACGTTACATGAGCAGAGAGATAGTAGGGATCAAAAAACGCGAACTAAACTAGATTCATTTGATTACTTGCATAAAGTGTATAACTACGTACAAATCATACAAATAAGCAAAACCAACGAGTAAAGATACGAATAAAACTACAAATCTTGGGTATATAGGGCATTACTTATCCAACACTTGCTGTAAAAAAAAAAAAAAAGGGGGGCCATTTGCTTTTGCACTTTTTACTTTACTCTTTACTCTTTACTCTACGCTTTACGCTTTACACTTGATACAAACACGTGCTTTGCCATATTGCTCTTTGTAAATTTTTTTTTTTTTCTTTTTTTTTTTTTTTATTTTTTTTTGCCTTTTCCTCTCTTCACCTCTTCAAATGAAGACCAGAGGGAAAAAACAAGATTAAAGCTCACATCCATCACTCTTCTGTTTTGCCCACCTGAACACTTTTATCATTCATAAAGCTATGCAAACACTTCTTGTTCTTCTGCTTCCTTGATTGTGTCCATAAGAAGGAGAATATACTCATCAGAAGCCATACACCTACATATACTCACAACTACAAAGTGTCAAACTGCAATTTTTGTTTTTTGTTTTTTTTTTTATTTCTTTTTCTTTTCCTTCAACTAGAGGATCATCAGACTTAGAGAGTTATTAGACACTCACAACTCACTTACCATACCCACAGCCCACTGGATTCACGATGTCTGATACAGAAAGTGTCTTTCAACCTACGGGGAGCACTCACAACACATTACACACCGATGAAATTTTGAATGACCACAGGCACCAAAACACTGATGCTGGCTCAGCAATCATTGATGATGACGATAGCGATCATGATGGTGCTAATGTTGGTGTCACTGGCGCTGCAGGTGCTACGCGCACTGGTGACAATCATTCCGATCCAGTGAGTACAACTCGTTTGAAAACACAAAGTACGGAACGCACCAAAAGTAGGGCAGAGTCTGACTTGGCTGAAGGGGACAAAAGGGGATCAGCTCCCTTTGTTTCTGGTGCCACCAGTGGTAGAAAAAAGAGCACAAGAAGAGGGTCAACGCGAAAACTGTCAGTCTCTGAAGATCCGCATTCTTCTTCGTTCCAACCACCATACAGCCATTCACAGCCAAACAGATCATACATGACTTCGTTACGCAAGGATTTTTATTTGAAAGATGACGAAGACAACACAGCTTTGCCCGTTCCTATAATCCACAATTCAACAAGTGGTGGAAAGGCAAGGACCAAGTCAACACTGGAAACGTTGGCTCCCATCATCAAGAAGAAGACCCATCGCAGCAACTCAAATAACTTGGAGGCTGACATTCTGAGCCCAATGACCAAGATCAAAACGAATGAGTCCTTTATAATCAATAATAATGGAAATGGAGAAGAAGCTAAAATACGGAGGCCCTCGAGGACTTCCATCGATAGTGAAGCCGACTCGCATGGGTCTAGAAGTTCGCAAGAAACTGAGGAGGATGTTTGTTTTCCCATGATGAGAGAGCACGTCAAGGTGAATGGCATTGATTTTGACGAAATTGACGAATTTATCAGAGAAGAAAGAGAAGAGGCTGCAATGCAACGTGACTTTTTAACAAAGAATGAACTGGCAATTGAGGAAATCAGTCATGAAAACTCGCGCAAGTTTGAAAAGTATGGTCGAGGAAGTAGTGTAAACGGAATTCCATCGAACACTTCGGGCCTTAGTCGACAACCCACCAGCACTGCTGCACTCAAGTACACCCCAAAAAATATACTACACAGAACTGTTCAGCGTTCAAACGAAGTCCCCGAATCAACAAGTACTACGTCATCATCGTTAGAAGAGCTCAAAGCCAGACAGGCTTTAGAATCTGACGATGTGTCATCAGCAGAGCAAGTCAAATTTGGTGGAGCTCGGATCACCGATGGAATGAATGGCACTTTGCCTGATCGGTTCTCCTTTTTCCACTCCGAGTCCGAGGAAACGGTACATGCACCTGATATTCCTTCCCTTGTTCCAAATGGTGAATCAATACAAGAGCTTTTCCATAATGGAGAAGAAACTTGGTGGTTGGATTGTACATGTCCCACTGATGCAGAAATGAAGATGCTAGCCAAGGCATTCGGTATTCACCCATTGACAGCAGAGGATATTAGAATGCAAGAAACTAGAGAAGTGGAGTTGTTTAAGAGTTACTACTTTGTTTGCTTCCATACATTCGAAGCAGACAAGGAGTCAGAAGACTATCTCGAGCCTATCAATGTCTATATTGTTGTTTTCCGTGACGGTATACTCACATTCCACTTTTCGCCATTGACACACCCAGCTAGTGTCAGGCGAAGAGTCAGACAATTGAGAGATTACGTTGATGTCACGGCTGATTGGTTGTGTTATGCGATGATCGATGATATCACCGACAGCTTTGCTCCTGTTATCCACGGAATAGAATACGAAGCAGATGCAATTGAAGATGCCGTATTCACGGCTAGAGAGACCGACTTCAGTAACATGTTGCAAAGGATTGGTGAGTCTCGTAGAAAAGTGATGACGTTGATGCGGTTGCTCTCAGGAAAGGCAGACGTCATCAAGATGTTTGCCAAGAGATGTCAAGATGAGGCAGCATTTGGATACAAGGGAGCACAATGGAAAGTTCCTCAAGGAGGGGGGTCTCCTTCTCATTCAGTTCTGAATGAAGCTTCTGGTGTTGGCACAAATTCAAGAGACTATGTGGCTGCTGACAACCATGGGGTGGAAACCAACAATGCTCGTCCCCGTGCCGATATCGCTTTGTATTTAGGTGACATTCAAGATCATATAATCACCATGATGCAAAACTTGAATGCTTACGAAAGGATTCTTTCCAGGTCTCATTCAAACTATTTGGGACAATTGCAATGTGAGAGCTTGGGAGAAAGCAACAAAGTTACCAAATTGTTCTCTAAAGTCACCATTATTGGAACTATGTTGATCCCCTTGAATTTGGTTACTGGTTTGTTTGGAATGAACGTCACTGTTCCTGGGAAAGATGCGAGTATCGCTTGGTTCTATGCAATTCTAGGCATTTTGATTGCGCTTTTGATTTTGAGTGTTGTTGTCGCACATTTCTGGGTGAAGGGGATGATGTCTAGAGTTGACAATAATCCGCGCCCGGTACTCAGTCCTAGAAGGAGTTTCAAGAATATGAAGATGAGAGGTTTTGACTTGAGATCAGTTTATAGCAATGTGTAAATTAGATAGAAAGGGATATGTGCTTTACTTGATCATCTTTTGCTGCGCAAAGGAACCACCCTCTAGATTAGTCACTTAGGGAAGACAAATGGTTTGTCATGCAACACACCATGAGAAGCAGCGGCAATGCCTTATTCACAAAGAAGTGGTTCCTCAACTAAGAAAACTTCGAACTTCGCTTTGCACACACACTCTCAAATGCTATTTTCGAATTCTTACACAAACACAAAGTTCAAACTATAACGCACAACACAAGCAAAGCTGAAGATAGAGAGATAGCAGCAATACTTGGGATTTTCGACAAACACGCCCCTTCTAGCTTATATACTGCGGTGCAGCCAGCGCTACTCCCTGCTATTACTCATAAAAGAGGATCTCAACATCTCCATAGTGGTTAAGGATTGTTGCGTGAAACACGCAAGCCACAGTTGATTGCCTCAGATCATTGCTTCTAAACCTCAAATATCAAATTTTTCTTATAATCTCACCAATACACCACTACAGTTTGTTAATGCTACAGAGAGATGCTATGAGGTTGGTTTTATCAGTTGTTATCATCACCTTATTCGAAGTTTCTTATGCCCAGTTATGGCCATACCAAATATTGCCACCGTTTCCCGTACTTGAGGGATGTCGTGAAGTTCTTCTGTTACTTGGCGTAAACAGAGGCAAAGAAGGATTGAGTACTGCGACGCACCTGACTGCGTATGCATCAGCAGCAGCAGCAGCAACACCAAAAACAACAACAACTTCATCAACTGAAACTTTGTTTCCTGAATTTGAAACTTGGCTTGAAACACAACAGAATGCCCTGTTTCATGCAATTTTACAAAACATCAACCCAGAAGGAGTCATTGTTGCCTCCCCGTCACAAAAAGAACCCAATTACTACTACCAGTGGATCCGAGATTCGGCAATCACGGTGCGTACCTTAATTTCATTCCTTGAAGACGAGCATATAAACAAAGTATCAGCGTCCCATTTGCATTCGCAAGTGATCAACTTGATTGAGCTGTACGTTATAAACAATTACCAATTACAAAGAACACCAAACAAACTGGGAGGATTCAATGACTTGTTGGGGTTGGCGGAACCCAAATTCAATGTGGACATGACTGCATTCAATGAACCTTGGGGGAGACCACAACGTGATGGACCTGGACTTCGTGCTGCGACAATAATTCAGTTCCTTGACTACTTGAACCAAACTGGCAACCTAGTCAACCACCCTGAATTGCAAAACTCAGCGTACATTTACCAAGAGATCGTCAAGCCGGATTTGCGGTACATTTGCCAGTTTTGGAATGAGACTGGATTCGATTTATGGGAGGAGGTCGATTCGATTCATTTCTTCACGTCCATGGTTCAATTGAAAGCTTTACAAATGGGAATTAAATGGTCGAGATATTTCAATGACGAGAATGGTGAATTTGCAACACAGTTGCGTGATTCATTTAATGCTTTGAAGCAACACATACAGAAGGATTTTGGATTTGTTACATCTGCGCTGAATCATGTAATTGAAAGCCCACATTTGTTGGAGTCTGGCGAAAGATTGGGATTGGACATAGCTACGATCTTGGCTGTGATCTACACGCACGAGAATGACGAAAAGGAGCAGCGCACTGAAAGCTCTGCATCAGAAACAATCCCATTTAATGTACTCAACTCATATGTGCTCAGTTCACTTAGCGGATTAATTATCGATATGCGAGATCGATATCCGATAAACAACAATCGTTTTGATGGTGTTGCATTGGGTAGATACCCCGAAGATATTTACAATGGAGTTGGCACATCTGAAGGAAACCCGTGGTTCATTGCAACTTCCACCGCGAGTGAATTCATCTACCAATTTATCTATAATCTTCAGCATCAAAAATTAAACTTGGTAATTGATGATACCAACCGACAATTCTTTTTGCCGTTGATAAATGTTACTGGCAACAAGTACATCCTTGAGTATAACTCCTCCGAGTACAACTTGTTGATTGAGAAATTATTGAAATATGCAGATTCATTTCTTGATGTTGTACGCACTCATACTGATTCTCAAGGTCGGATGTCGGAACAATTCAACAAAAATACGGGATATATGCAAGGAGCAAAAGAATTGACTTGGAGCTATAGTGCGGTATGGAATGCAATCCGTTGGAGAAGAAGAGCTTTTTTTGCTATATAGTACATGAAGGGACGTTTTATTTTCACTATTTATCTAAATTATTCGTAGTTTCAAAGATGGTTATGTTTTTGAATTTGGAGTCATCGGTGTTTTGGTAGCAAGCGTCAGACCTATCAAGCAACTCTTGTAATTCTTCATTTGTCACAGGCTTGTTGTTCCCTTGTTGTTGTTGTTGTTGTTGTTGTTGTTTATTGTCAGGCAAGTCGCTAGAGTTGAAATTATGTTTACTCCACTCAAACAATTCCTTCATGCTTGCATCCAATTCACTGCCACTGTTCCCCATCATTTGTTTTAATTTGCTGAATTTAAACTCGCCCATTTGTATAATCAATTTCTCAAGAAATCTCTTGGAGCTAGACTTGCTTATCAAAATTTCTTCAATTGAGTCACGAACAACAAAACGAAATATCTTGACTGGTTTTTCTTGACCAATACGATGAACACGATCAATTGCTTGAAGATCAACCTGCGGGTTCCAATCACTGTCAAATAAAAATACTGTATCGGCTGCAGTCAAGTTGATTCCCAAGCCGCCTGCTCTTGTTGATAACAAAAACACTTTCACAGAGGATTGACTTTCATTGAAAAGAGAAATTTGGTCCTCTCTTTCAGCCTGTGCAGTAGATCCATCTAAGCGACAGACATCAATGTTTTGAAAGTGTAACCAATCCTGTATCAAGTCCATAACCCTTGTAAATTGGGAAAATATCAAGCACTTGTGTCCAGATGCAATCAACGGAAGTAGTATTTGTTCGAGTGCACGGAATTTTGTCAGATTTTGCACAAGCTTGGAAACGAATTGGTCGTCATGTTGCCCATCAATAGGAAAGGGCTCATAGTACAAGTAAGGGGAATTGCAAATATTTCGTAATTGAATCATTTTAAGGGCTTGCAACTTTAAATGTTTAATGTGCGAGACGATATCGGTGTACAATGCCTTCAAAACTGCTATTTGCTTATCTTCTCGACCTCCAAAAGTATCAAGTTTATTCACCACCTCCTCGTACGACGTAGTTGAGCTCCTTGGAATTGCAGTTAAATCATCCACCTCATCTACCGTCTCAAACTCATCATCTGACTCCGCTTCTTGGTAGGATTTATTGGCATTCTTCAACGTGTTTCCATTTAGCACAGAATCGACATTGTCCAAAAATGCATCTATATCGTAATTCTCAAACAAATTTGCATGATTGTAAGCCAAGAATTCTTTTAGATTTGATTCAACTAATCCCTTCTGCAATCTGCCGTCTAGTGCGTCGCGATAAATTTTCCGTTGCAATTCTGTCAACGGTATGTGTATTATATATTCCTTCTTTGGAGGCAAGTCTTTGATTACGTCTTTCTTTAATCTTCTGAGAATAAATGGCTTTAAAATGGTGTGTAGATTCTTGACCAATGTTTCCTGAATGTTGAGCTTAATAATGGTTTTTGTTTCCTCATCTTCTTCATTTTGCTCAAAGTTGGCCAACTGATCAAAATCAAACCACTGTTGGAACAATTCCAAATCGTGGAAAATATCTGGCAAGATAAAGTTAAGAAGCGACCATAATTCGTTCAAGTTATTCTGTAATGGTGTTCCTGTCAACAACAATCGATTGGTCACATCTAATTTCTTCAAAACTTTTATCAACAAACACTGACTGTTCTTCAACCTGTGTCCCTCATCTACGATCAAGTATTGCCACGTCACCTTTGAAAATTTCCCGAAATCTTTCATCGAGATTTCGTATGACGTAAGAACAATATTGAATTTTTTGCCCTCCAAATTTAACTGAGCTCTTTCTTGTTTACTCCCAGAATACTTTAGGACTTTGATTTTGGGTGCAAATTTCTGTAATTCGTTATACCAATTGGACAAGGTCAGTAAAGGAACGACAACCAAAAAGGGTCCAGTGATACCATTTTCTATCAAATAGCCCAAAAATGAAATGCATTGCAATGTTTTCCCCAAACCCATCTCGTCGGCCAAAATTCCATTTAAACCATTTTCATACAACGTGACCAACCATTCCAAGCCGTCCAACTGATAGTCCTTCATTACACATCCGGAAACTATCTTAGGCTGTTTCATAGTATGCGCGCTCTGCGACTTCTCAATAGCTTCTCTTGTGGCTACCGTACTCTCTGAAATATCCGTTTTCAACATCGAAACGACGTCCTGGCTTTTCTTGGGCATATTTTTTGTAGTCTTTCTCTTTTTCCTTGCAGGCAGACTCTTGGTCGAAGAAGCCTTTCCAATGCTTGATTCCGAATGCCCATGTGACGAAGTTGTCTGACTGCTATTATCATTCTTGGCCAACACCGATTGTAAAATGTTGTCCGCGATGATTTTAGAGTAAATTTGCGATTTTTCGATCAAGTTGTTCAATCTATCAAACTTGGTTTCTCTTGATAGGTTATTGAACTCATCTTGCTCACTTTTAGAGTACCCGTTGTCCTCTTTTGAACTGTGATCAGTCGTTTGGTATTGTTGCTCGATCAATTTTTTCAAATCAAGCTCACTATCAGGGGTGGTTTCCACCGCCTCCTCTTGCGGGGGGTTAGCAAAATGAGATGTGGTCATATTCGCGAGTCTCGTATGTCAATGTAATATTTGGAGCTATTCAGAAGAGGAGCAATACGTCTTGTCCCAAACCTTCTTCTAAGCAAAGAAGCTTGAGTTAGAACGAGAAAATTTACACGCGCAAACCAACGCGTCTCCAATGGCTATTTCCGCCAGACTCAACTTCAATGTTATAGACCCTTATATATACATATATATATATATATTTTCTTTTTTTTTTTTTTTTAATTGCTATCATCGTATAGATGATATGGCGTATTGTGCAATCCAGAGTGCTTCAATGCCAGTCAACAGCATCTGGAAACTGGGCCCGTATTTGCGACAAGAACGTGGTAGCCTGTTTCTTTGCAACAACCGTTACATTTCGTCAGCGGGTAACAAGGCAAGCAGAACTTGGGTGCGTGAGAGAGGAAAGAGCTCCAATTGATGGTGGAAGGTTCCAAACGCTAGTGGTATAAACTTTTGTAGTCCACAATGCAAAGTGATGAGAGAGAAAAGCTACTAATGAGAAAGATAGGAAGAGTGGAAGAGATCAAAAATCTACAACACCGTATCGGTGGGTTAAGCTCCCAAAAAATTCCCATAAACAGACAACGGAATCATCATCACCAACACTCACTAACATCAGGAACATCGTCAATTGCAAATGGAAAAAAAATCCTAAGCAGCAGCCAAAACCAACTGAAAATTCAAAAACAGTAGGCAGAAGAAACCAACTGCATAAGCAGCATTAACTAACTGCTATTTCAAAACCATAAGCAGGAATCACCCACTGCAAAACTAAAACAGTATGTTGTATTTGTGTAGTATTCTTGCGTTCTGGGTCGGATAGATCCGATGTCACGTGCCATTCTTTTGAAACGAGAAAGGATAAAGACAAGAGTCAATAAATGTGGATTACTAATTTTCTTTACGTATGTCAGTGTACTGGTTTACACAGTGGTCTATAGATACTCTCTCTCTCTCTCTCTCCCTCCCAATCTTTTGCGTTTAACTCGTACTTTGATGGTTGTTGGGTATCCTCTGCAAACGCTCCAAACTCCAACATTTTAAAAAAGACGCAAAACAAAGAATAATTTTGTTGAGACAGATAGAGAGAGAGAGAGAGAGAGAGAGAGAGACAGAGAGAGATTGTTAGTGTTAGTGTTGTGTAAAGTATGTGGATTGTGTAATATATTACGTAAGGTAGTGACATCACTCGTATTACATTACACAATTACATTAAATTTTAATTTATATTTGATTAGTTTTAACACGTGACTCAATACATATTCTACATCAAACAGCTACAACCACATACTAAATTTATATATATATATATATATATGAAAACTGAATACTATTTAACAGTCAACCATGTACAGCAGGTACATGTATACTAACTGCGATATACAAATAGATAGTACAAGATGACATTGAAGATGATTGAACTGATGTGAAATAGATATTGACTATTAACCGCCCTGTACATGACACAAAACTCATTTCATCCTTTTTCTTTTTTTTTTGTTGTTGTTGTTCCAATCTTTTAATCTCTTCTTCATCTTCCTCAATATTCATATATATATATATACATAGCCTGTCAGTGATCCACAGTTTATACTTCTTCTGCTTATTTAAATTCTCTTCTCTAGCCACAGTTTGCTATTCTTATAATACTCAACAACAACAACAACAACAAAAACAACAGCAATCGTGTGTCGTTCTATCTCTAAATTACTAGGATTAGGGTTTAATAGCAACAGAGTCAAAGTCACCAACAAACTCCTCCTTTGTCGTCACATACCTACAACACTGGTTATTTCTCAACTACTCCTCCCCACTCCCCAGAAGAGACAATTCACAACTTCCTCAATAACAATGGGTAGAGAGAACATATTGCACTATTTGCAAGAGCACAATGAAACTGATAAAGAACTAGAATTGGGTACTGATAACAACAATGGAACCGCCACTCAACAAGCAGACGAGATCGAGATTCCTCAATTCAAACGTAAAGTCACTCAACATTCCAATTTCCCATTCACATTGTCTCCAGATTCAACCATAACTGACTATTTAAACAACAACAAATTTTATGTTGACTCAATAAAGCACAACCATGGTGACCAGATATTTGAATTGAACGGCCAAGGACAATCTCCACATACGTTATGGATAGGATGCAGTGATTCAAGAGCTGGAGAACAATGTTTGGCCACTTTACCAGGTGAGATTTTTGTTCATCGAAACATTGCCAACATTGTCAATTCAAATGATTTTAGTTCCCAAGGAGTTATTCAATTTGCCATTGATGTGTTGAAAGTTAAAAAGATTATTGTTTGTGGACATACTGATTGTGGTGGTATATGGGCCTCATTATCTTCCAAAAAGATTGGCGGTGTTTTGGACTTGTGGTTGAACCCCGTTAGACATATTCGTGCTCAAAACTTGAAACTACTCGAACAGTTTAATCACGAACCTAAATTGAAAGCGAAAAAATTGGCAGAATTGAATGTTGCTGCGTCAGTAATTGCATTGAAAAGACATCCTAGTGCTAGTGCTGCTTTGAGACTGGGTAAGATTGAAGTGTGGGGGATGATTTACGATGTTTCTACTGGATACTTGTCTGAAGTTGAAATACCTCGTGATGAATTCCATGACTTGTTTCATGTGCTGGATGAAGATGACAAATCTGCTCATAATCCACATTAGTCAGTTCACTCAAACGCACAGTCGTATACTTGTGCGTGTCTGTAGATAATTATAGAAGTCAATAAGAGAAACTTGTTCATTAATAGAGTCGTTTAGGAGTTAGTGTAAGTCACACACGTTATATTTTCATTGCATATACATGTTTTAGATTGAATGTGGTGATTGACTCAATGGGATTCGTATACACATATACATACACGAGGATACCAAATCCAGTCACCTTCTATAGTGTAATTCTTTTCCACTCCCTCCACAATCCACCACTTATTCTCCTTTCTGCATCAAGTGCTTGACCAGTTCAAGTTGAATCTTCCCTCGGGAACTTTGTAATTTTCAATAGCATCCAAAACCTCTTCAACAGTATTGGCAACTTTAATAATCTGACCATTTTTAACCGAAACAAACTCACTCGCAATGGCATCCTTGATAAACTTTAAGAAATTGTCATAAAACCCATCGATGTTGAATATCACAATAGGTTTGTTATGGATGTTCAATTGTTGCCAAGTGACAACTTCCATCAACTCTTCCAAAGTTCCATATCCACCTGGAAGTGCAATGAATGCACTGGCCTCTTGGCCCATTAATCTCTTACGCGTGTGCATATCTTTGACCAACGTGGTCTTGCCATACTCTTTGGAATCTGGTATGGGAGTAGAACCATCATGGTTGTCAATTGATTCCTTCAATTTGGCATTAAATTCATCCTCCTTGTTGTTGCTTGCATCACCAACGTCAGCTCGGCCATTTCCATTTGCGACTTCCTTCTTATCTTCCACCCTCTCACGAGAAATTAAAGCTTCGGGGATGATTCCATGCACGTAGCCTCCATTAGTGGCACAACCACGTGCAACTGCACCCATTAACCCAGTCGAACCACCACCGTAAACTAAGCCCCATGATCTCTTGGCTAATTCGGTACCTAACTTGGCAGCTTCTTCAGCAAATTGGGGTTTGTTACCAAATGAAGATCCACAGAATACACAAACAGTTTGAGGTTCTTGAGTCATAATTGTTGGAAGCAGTGAGCAATTGATTTGGTTTGAAAAAGATTGTTGAATTTTCTCAAGTGAGTTTATGATTTCTAGTTTGTAAAGGGTAGATTGAGTGGATGTGGTGGTGTATTTATATTCTTGAACCTTGGCTTTATTGGAGTGTTGTGTAAGTATAATTGCAAAGTTTTAGTTGTGTAAGTATAATTGCAATGTTTTAGTTGTGTGTGTGTGAAACGTTTATCGGCCATTGGTTGTCAATTTGTTCCGTCGGAGTTATTGCGATTACATCGTTACACACGTACAAAAATGGCAATTTTTTACCTTGAGCTATAAACGACTTTGAAACATGTAACTGGTATCTTTCGATAGAGAACCATTTGCAATATATCATATTGAGCTTAGAAAGAGTTCCGCCATAAACTTGTGTGTAGAAATAGGACTTAGAATTTGCTGAAATTTTACTAACAAATTCGCAACAGTTTAACAACAGAATTTTAAAGACCATTTCATATTAGTTTTAAACACACGTTCTTATAAAGCACGGTAACAATTGTTGCCAAATTTCGTAGGAGAGCTCATAATCTTATAAAGCACTAGCACAGAGTACATCTACAAGGAGCTATCTTTATAATTTGTCCAAAAGCTGCGGGCATTGTGTAATGGATGTTTGGAAAGTGCTCTTAAATACGGGTAAAAAAGATGCTTTATTCCGTCTTTCCTGGCCACTTACAGACATCAATACAAAATTACTGATACCCCCTATTTCAGGCATAGATTTCACTCAACAAGTCCAATTTCAAGAAGACGGTCACTACTATAAAAGAATAAACTACAAAGAAGCTAAATATACAACAATTTCAAAGCACATTATAACAAGAACTGTATAAAGCCCAAATAAAAAACCCAAGTATCAAGTTTAAAGCCCAATTATAGTCCACAAATGCCCCCAAACTAGTTCCGATACCAAACGAAACGAAGTCCCTAAGTCTAGTTCCCAGGTTCGTCCCAGATCCGTTCCAGATTGTGATTTCCCATTTAATAATAGACCTTACAGTCTCCTGAAATAAAAAAAAAAGTGAAGCAATATCCCATGACCAGTTGTTAGTAAGAATCTCCCAAACTAAATGAATTTCCACCCAAAAAGAGTACCACAGTCAGCTACAAAGTAAATGTAGGAGCTCTTCCCTCCCCTTGTGAATAAAGAAAACAAGATACCAGAATAAAGACCATTCCGACTGCAAAAAAACCCACCAATGAAAACAAAACACCATCAAAGAACTGAAAAGCAACGCCAAAATTAGAGCAAAAACCATTGTAGCAGCATGTCAAAGACACTCTACCATACCCAATCTCAGTAACAATGGACTTTGAAAACAAAAAGGTGGTCTCAAAAATCAAGGGAGTGTTCCAGTCACTCTGCAAAAAGGGTTGGAATAGGTCTTTTCTGCTGAGCTAATCCCAAGAAAGAATTCGTCACCTTTGTTTCCATCTGTGTAGTTTTGGTTCTAGGTGGATCTGTTTATGAATGACTACTACGGTTTACACCTGAAAAGGTGAAGAAGGGGAAGAAAAGAAGAAGAAAAAGGGGGACAAATTGTTGAATTCGAGTGGGAAAGTTGAGGTTGTATTTATACTTTTTGAAAACTTGGTTGCTAAAAATTGATATAGAGGGGAAGGAAAATCATGCACATTATATTATAGACAAACTGCTCCTTATCACCAAGAATAGAGACAATATAGGAGACTGGTAAAGTACAAGTGCCATCTACTGAAGGCAAGGTGACTTTCAGTGAACATTGATTACAGCTATATTGGTATGCTGTTGCACTAGAAAACAGAGTAGTCAATGATGGCGTTAATAAATTGACAAGAAGACAATGGGGCAAGGTGTTTAATACTCAAGTCGTAGCCACCTCACGATAGTCTCTTGCCTACCTCTTACGTTGAAGTCTTTGTAGTTATATGTAGAGAGCGGTGTGTACTTTAGAGTGGAATCCTCTCACCTCAATAGAAACTTCTGAGCCATTATGTATTGACAACCTAAAATATAGATTGGTACCCTCCACTCAGCTTCACCAATGACTAATCTTACCCTCTATTCGTTGGTGTGATGAATATTTCATCACCAACTCTGTAGCCAATTGTATGTAAACCTCTGTTCCAGAAAAAAAAAAAAATCATTCAGCAAAAAAAAAACCACTGAGCACTCCATCAAACTTTAACAATCCACCAATTAACTAGAATCGTCATGAAGACACAGTGGAAGGATTCCGTACCTGAAAGCGAAGGTATGTTTGAATCCATTGAAGCTCGTTGCATGCATTTGATACTAACTCATCTTGTACCGTAGAGGAGAGATTTAGACAAAAGTGTAAAGAATTGAAAAGAAGAGTTCTTGAAGTTGAACAAACCAATGAGATTGCCACGATAGCGTTGAGCAGGACACAAGCGGCAATCCGTAGGTCAAGGCTTGAATATGCAATATTGGTGGAAAGGCTAGAAGATCGAGCTCAACATCTACCTGATGGAGTAACCAATTTTGAAGAAATGGCCGGTCCACCAACACCAAGTATACTAGACGAGTCCCTTGTTAAAACGTCCAAGAATGGCTCAAGTAAAAAATCATCGGGTAAAAAGCTCAATCTGGGTAAAGGTGTTACTGGTAACAACGCATCAAATTCACCAAGTGCTGCAACCCTAGACGCGAGGAGTTTGATGAATCTTGGAGGAGCAGGAGGTGGAATGGGTGGTGGGGCTTCTTCAACAGAAAACCCAACTTCTGTTGCGACAAATACAACCTTGACCAAGAATCCCAAATATAGAGATCCTGACTTACCCAAACGTCCCACAAATGCGTACCTTCTATTCTGTGAACAGGAAAAGGAAAGATTGAGACAGCAACAATTACAAGATCCCGAGAATAGCACCCGTGATTTATCAAAAGCCATGACTGAAGCTTGGAAGAATTTGAGCGAAGAAGATAGAAAGCCGTTTTACAAGTTGTATGAAGAGGATAGAATTAGGTATCAGAAGGAGATGGCTGAATATACTCAAAAGAAGGAGGCTGAGTTGGACCAGACCGGGCACGATGAGGGAGAAGGAGAAGGAGAAGGAGAAGGAGAAGGAGAAGGAGAAGGAGAAGGAGAAGGAGAAGGAGAAGGAGAAGGAGAAGGAGAAGGAGAAGGAGAAGGAGAAGGAGAAGGAGAAGGAGAAGGAGAAGGAGAAGGAGAAGGAGAAGGAGAAGGAGAAGGAGAAGGAGAAGGAGAAGGAGAAGGAGAAGGAGAAGGAGAAGGAGAAGGAGAAGGAGAAGGAGAAGGAGAAGGAGAAGGAGAAGGAGAAGGAGAAGGAGAAGGAGAAGGAGAAGGAGAAGGAGAAGGAGAAGGAGAAGGAGAAGGAGAAGGAGAAGGAGAAGGAGAAGGAGAAGGAGAAGGAGAAGGAGAAGGAGAAGGAGAAGGAGAAGGAGAAGGAGAAGGAGAAGGAGAAGGAGAAGGAGAAGGAGAAGGAGAAGGAGAAGGAGAAGGAGAAGGAGAAGGAGAAGGAGAAGGAGAAGGAGAAGGAGAAGGAGAAGGAGAAGGAGAAGGAGAAGGAGAAGGAGAAGGAGAAGGAGAAGGAGAAGGAGAAGGAGAAGGAGAAGGAGAAGGAGAAGGAGAAGGAGAAGGAGAAGGAGAAGGAGAAGGAGAAGGAGAAGGAGAAGGAGAAGGAGAAGGAGAAGGAGAAGGAGAAGGAGAAGGAGAAGGAGAAGGAGAAGGAGAAGGAGAAGGAGAAGGAGAAGGAGAAGGAGAAGGAGAAGGAGAAGGAGAAGGAGAAGGAGAAGGAGATTCTGCAGGTGAGAGAAATCGAGATGGCAATGAAGAGGAACAGGAAAATAATGACGAGGAAGTTGGAGAGAGACAAGAATCGCAAAGCAGGGATGATGATGAAAGGGAAACAAAACGACAGAAAATTGACGACGGCACAGGGACAACAGATGAACAGCAACCCGGCAGCGTGGAGGTCAAAGTAGAAGATACAAGTAATTAAATGTCACTAATGTATATACATGCAACTGAACTCAAATGCTTTATTCTATCTAACTCTCTTCTTCTTTGGTTTGTAGTACCCATTTTCATCCTTTTCATGCTTTCTCTTCTCCCGCACTCTCTCATGCTTTTTGAACTTCCGTTTAGCAGCAATATCAGGGGCAGTGACAGCCATTTGTGATCTCCTGGCTTTTCTCGTTTTTCTTCTGGCATCAACTTGTTGCCTAACTTTAGCGAATAATCGGGTATACTCAGTAGTACCGATTTTCTCCTGAACCATATTCAATGCTTGCAAACTCATATTGGTCAATTCATCATCAGATAACGATTGGCAATATTCTTCATCAGTGAAGTTGTACAATGAATCAATGATTTTTTCCGAAACTTCAATCATACGGTCTTCCTTTGTCAATTGAATGAACAAGATTAGGAACTTGATTGACATCTTTTTAGCGGTACTTGATTGGTTTTCCTGCTTGATGATGCCACAAACCTTTTTGATCAAGAAATCATTGGCGTATTGAGTTTCCCCATTGTCACCAGCTGCAAGCTGTGCGCTGGTGTCTTCCCATTTGACGGCAATATATGTCAAGTTCTTAATGCACAATGTACCCAACTCTTCAGAGAGTGAAGGCGTACGCAATTGATGAATAAGTCTCGTCGCGATAAGTTCCAACTTGTCATTGCTCAATTTGCTCTTGTCGATTTTGGAAAGCAAGACTGAAGTCAAACGACAAGAAATCAATCTAATCCAAGAATGGGGATACAACAAACAATCAATCACCAAATCCCAAACTTTGCCATATTTCAGTTCGTAGATCTGGTCTTTAACACTAGAAACAATAGCTCCAAAAACCGACAAGCTCGAGTAGACTACTTCCCACTCAACACTGCTTCCCTCTTCCGTAAATTTGGAATCGGCAAGAATCCTCATTATATTGTCCAATACCAACTTGTTCAAATTTTGGAATTGTTTCATTCCAAATACCGATATCAACATTTTGTAAACTTGGAATCCACATCTTTTCAACAAAACATTTGATGTTTGCTGTAACCATGCCATACAATATTTCTCAATAAAGTCAAGATTGTTCAATTTCCTCATCATACTCATCAACAATGCATTTGCCATTTCCCTAGATCTTGAAGAATCATCTGACACGAGAATGTTTGCTAATGCAATGAAAAATGACGATGCCAACTTTTCCAACAACTCTGGTCCCGCTTTTAATATGATTAAATGGATAAGTTCCATAACCGATTGACGACCTTCTTCAGTAGGATAGGTCAAGTTGTTGACCAAAAACTTAAACTGTTTCTCCAATCTTCCCTTTCCTTGATCATACTCCATCAAAAATTGGAAATATATCGACCTTGACATATCACGAATCTCTTTTGAATGATTAACAATCATCAACTTTGTAACACTGTCCATCACATCATAAATTTCCGGCAAGAGCAAATGTTGTGCAACAATTGCCTTCAAAAACTGGAATGCTAAACCTTGCCGATTGGGCTCTTCCAAGTCGGGCTGGATTCGAGTCAAAACATAGCTTATAGCAGAATCTTTCAACACCACTTTTGGATTGTGTTTTATAGTAGTAGCCATGAATTTTAGAGCTGCCTGACACACATCCAGATTTGTAGTAGGTGAGTCCTTTATCAAAACCAAGGCTTTCCGAACACAAGTCTTCAAAACTCCTTGACTCTCTTCATCGAATGGTAGCCTAACAATAATCGTCAAGACTCTCAATGAAGCCAAAACTACTCCTTCACCTTCAGAGTTGATTGCAGTTGTCAACAATGGCACAAATCCTTTCAAGTTAGAAGTGAGGAGTAAATTCTCGTGCCTTGAAATTGCAGTTCTCAACAACTCTAAAGAAAGTTTCTGCATTGTTTGTACATAAATCAGTCGATCAACATGAGACTTTGTCTTTCTGCTCAATGTTGTCAAGAAATGCTGCTCCGATACACTGGGCTGAGTTATTTGTTGAGTTGGATCAGCTTCGCTCGCCATGGTGAAAATTTCATAACACAAATGCAAGATTGATTGCTTTGAAGCTTCAGTATTATGATTTAATCCAAGTGATAGTTTTCGAAGCACTTCGTCCAACTGCACTTGGACTTTATGATTGATTGTCTCTTGAAGTAAAAGCTTGATTGGAGTGATCAACTCACCAAAATGGTCAAGCGAGATATTAGACGCCAATATCTCACAAGTGTCAAAACTCTTTTTGAACTTGACCTCCTTCATCTTGCTCGTGTACCCATCCGCATCCTTTTCCTGCCCAGCTGCCCCAAATATATCTTCCATTGCAATATCAATCGTTAACGAAATAGACCCATTCAAGTCGCCATGCTGTAAAACATTTGCCAAACATTGCAAAAGGTAATGGACAGTGAAACTGAGAACATGTATTTGTGACCCTCTTGATAATGCCGTTTTCAACTCCTTAACAATAAACGAAAAATAAGTAGCACCCAATGCAATAGCAATCTTGCCCAAAGTCTTTCTCACAGCATCTCTCAATTCCTCTGATCTAGATCTCATAACTTGACACATGCTTGTCAACACTGAAGGAAGAGCACCCTCAACTTTGTCATCCGAAAGGGACAAAATTAAGTTGATTGCCGCTTCACCTAAAGGAGCACGCGCAACTATCGTATCATCATCTCTGACTTGCAAAATCTTGGCAATCTGTGGCAAGACATCAACAAATAGAAACTCATCAATATCTTCTTGAGTGGCAACATTATGCAAAGTGCCATTTTCCTTGTGATCTTTCAAAACCGCTGAAATTGCCACCACCAAGTTCACACGTTGTCTCAACACTTCGGAGTCCATTTTGAGACCCGCTAAATAACGTTTGAGGATGGCTTTGTATTGACTCCAATTGATTGAACGGACTAGCGTTTTTATCGCTTCTAAAGCTTCAAGCCCAATGTTTCTATACTTTTCCTCCTTTGAAATAGCATACTTTTCCAACAATGGTAGAATGTAATGCGATACGTTGTTTCCATTAAGAGCACCGGCCACACTACCCAATCTTCGAATACACTTTTGGCGTAGATGCAATTGAATGTGGTTTATGTTGCGGAAGAATTGCAGCTCTTCGTCATCCTCGTTTCCAATCAATACTTGCAAATCTTTCAAATCAGGATAATACTTGTCATTCTTGACAATATATTCCAAAACGGCAACATATTCATTTTGAACGTCTTCATTATCTTTTCTAATACCTATTCTCACAATTGGGAGAATTGTATCCTTCAATAAATGAATATATGGCTGAGCCTCATCCACAGACAGTTTCGAGCTATAACAATCAACAAATCTTCTCAATAGGTAGCCGGCATTTACACGTATTGCCAACTCAGTAGGATCATTAATATTAAACAACGCATTGCCAATCAATGGCAACCACTGGACAGGATCAAATGAAAGGTAAAGTTCTTCATTCACCAATCGATATGCATCAAGCCTCTTTTCAAAATCATACTCATTCATTCTTGAAGTGTAGGCATTCAACCCGAGAATTATCAGTGACACCACTTGCAAACGCTCAAATTTGGATCCAAGGACCCCAAATAATGATGCCAATGTCTCACGAACATCCTTTGTGGACACAATTCTGAGAAGTTTTGAGCACGCTTGATACAAGGGCAATATTTCATCAAATGTGCACTCGTATCCTCCCAATAATGACGCCAAGGCAATAAGGATGTTTGATTTATCTGCAATATCAATCTGTTGGTTGTTGCGCTCGAGTGCAAATGTCAATGATTGAATTAAGGCCGACTTGGTTTCCTTGGTATCAATGTAATCCCCTTGTATCATGAGTAAAAGGGTTCTGATTGCTTTTGAGCCCACATCAGGGTCAAGTATTCTGTTGATAGTCGATGACAAAGTTTGGAGCAAAGAGTCCACCACAATTGCCAACAAGGTAAAATAATTATCCTCGGAATCATTCCTCTTCTCTAAGGCCGTAACTGCAAAATCCAATACGACTGATATCACAGTTTCTTTTGCTTCTTGTCTTTCCAAAAGTGACAAAATTGCCTTTACTGCATCAAAATCGTTGGCAAATAAAAAGGATAAAGTGTTTGGCAGCTGTATCCAAAAACACATCAAGGTCAACACAGCCAGAGGTTGTTGCAAATTCTCGCTTGCAAACTTGGGAAGTCTTGGAGCAATCAAATCATTAGTGACAACACTGACATATGGAGTCCAGTCAAACAGTGGCCCAAGAATATAGAAGAGTTCCTTCAAACTTCTCATTCCCGTCAGTCTGATATTTCTCACCATCTTATCCATGATTGGATCTTCGCCTTCCATACCACAGTCAATTCTATTCTGTGCACATAAAAGTGAATAGATGAGGGGTTCAATGGTGGTGGCCAAAACAGACACACGATTCTTTTTGAAAACGTCATACACTTGTTGAAGTAGATTGATGAACCCGGTGATTTTTTTCAATTCACCGTTATCAAACCCCAAACTAGCTGTTGACATTCTTTTTTCGAAATATTCCTTGTAATTTATCTTGTTTGCACCAATCTCAATAAACTTTGCTATTTCTTCATCTTCAAAATTTGGCAAGGACAAAAGAACAGCATTCTTACCACCATGTTTGCTTTTACTTGCTGGTTTACCTTGAAACTTTCCAAACAATATCCTTATAACCAATGGCATAATGTGTTGTTTATCCTCACTTTCAATTTGACAGTCAACCGAGGTAAACTTTGCCAATTCGTCACTGAAGGTCATATCATCTAACAAGTTCTTCAAAACGTCCCTATGCTTATTGATGATCGAATCATTGAATGCAAAAATGACATCAAGCGATAGTTGTTGGACCTTCGTGTAAGTGCTTGTTAACAAGTCCAACATGTATTTGAACAATTCCTCACTGTTGCCCATCTTTCGCAAGCTCTTAACTTTTGCCAACAATGCCAAGTAATCGTTTTTGTCGCTCTTGGACCATTTTTGGTACACAACATGCTGATTCCCATCAAGCAAAAATCCAACAAGCTTAGGCGCATCCACAACAGATGGTGCACTTTGAAGAACATGTAAAGTGTTTGAACGAATTAGCCCCTCAAACTCATTTTGTTGGTAGGCACTTTGAGCCACACTGCAGATTGAACTCTCAACATCTCTAAAATAAACCAAGTTGGTGTTTTCAAAGGATTCAAAATTCTGATACAATCTGTAATTTCTTGGTTGCCAAGATATCAAACTCGATTTTACTTCAGAAGAGACTTGCTCCAACTGATCGTCATGTTCGTAATCCATCATCAAAAACTTGAGTGCGTTTTCCCATATTTCTCTTTTGCAGGTGCTTGCTAGCAATGGAATAGCATCCAACACAGCTTTCCAACTAGGCTGAAACTTGTTGGACAATAATCCAAATAGAAAATTGATTGTAGCAGTTTTGTCAAATTGGCTCGGCTTCACTTCCTTCAGAAGCTCGGCTCCTAAATTACGAACTCGAAGCATAATGTCTCGGCCTGTTTCAATTGTCAATGGTATCTGCTCAATTAACTTGATTTGCAGAAATATTGGTGAAATGGGCTTTCCCTCTATTTTGTGAATGGATTCAATAAGATCAATGGCATGTGATCTGGTATCATGACTTGGCAAAAGCAAGCATTCCAATGCTGGACTCAAAAACTGCTGCGGTACATCAACAACTTTTATGAATTCTGATATTGCTGGTAAAAAGTTCAATGATTGACTAAACTTGTCAAATGAGCCCAAAATGAACAGGGTTAATTCATGAGTGATTGGTGCCGACTTTTCAAGCTGTGGCGCCAAGAACTCAATAGCCAAAGCAACAATCTCTCTCCCGATACTCGAACGTGGTGCACATTTCATCAATTGTACCAAAAGCGATGCATCGAATACTACATTTGCAGCATGTTTGACAACCAACAACCTCCAATAAATCTGTTGGTAATCTTCCAACTCCAACGCCAGTACAATATATTGATATTGCAATTCCAGAATTTTCTCTGGTATCGTGAAACTTGACTTCCCAATAGGTTTCTGCTTCACCAAGAACAACACGACTAGTTGTAATTTTTCCACCGTATCTGCATTGTTTATGTACATTTGAATGTGTTTGTTGATTCCAAAGTTTTTCACTTTTTCACTGGCAACTGCCAATGCTGCATGAGCAAAAGGTAAAAAACTCAACCCATGGTTCAAGTTGTACATTGCGTCAAAGTATTTCTTGTGACGCGACATAAGTGTTTGGATGTCAACATTCCTGAAAATGATAGTCATCAAGTACACCAACGATTCAGTCAATTCTAGTGATGTTTCATGCATGGTCACGGTCGCGGTCATGGCAAGAATTTCATCCACGACGCTCAATACACTACTCCAATCGCCAACTTTTCTTCCAGAGTCGGCAAAACACAACGTCGAGAGTAGCTGACTTGACATCAACAATGTGAGATTGCTGCTATTACCATTAATCATCTCCAATACAGCTCCCGATACCAATTTGTAAAACTCCAAACACGCCTCTTGTTCACCATGATGCAACACATCCAACAAAATATCAGACACCAACGACGTGACTTGCGGCTGGTGCTCCTCGTTGATCTCAGAAACAATACACTCCATCAATATAGTCAATATAAGTTTCGACTTTGTGTGGAACGAGCCCCTAGTACTCTTCATCGACTCGCTAAACAACACCTTCAACGATTCCGAGTATTGATCATTGGACGTCACATTGTCGATATTTTCGTAAATTGAATAATGAATAAACTTTCGAAGTGTGTCAACGTTCAGTTTGCGGACAAGGTACGAAAGTGCCTCAGCACAAAATCTCGAGATGTAATCCTTGTTTCTCAAAGTCAACAATGGCAAAAGACCAGCAAAAGTTGGTTGCAAGTCCTGTATCAAGCTCTTCACCAAGTACTTGAAAGCAAATGCCAATGTGGTGAAAATCCAATTCAATGCATTTGAGGTATTTCGATTATTTTGCACATCGTTGGGGGTTTGCATCAATACCACTTCAACTAACAAGTGTAATGTCCTGTCATAGAATGGTAGGAAGTCCGGACCCAAGTCATGGATAAATTGACTCAAAAGCTCTAAACATGCTTGTAGAGAGTGTATGTCATTCTTTTGTATCGCGAGGTATATTGCTTCGTAAATTTTTTGCTTATGATGTAGCACTTGTGGTAAAGACTGACAGTAGTTTGTAATGTTAGAAGAGAGTTCAGTGTATGTCTCCGATAAATTAAGCTCATCCCAGTGTTCTAATGTGGTTAGCAAATGCGAGGACTCAACTTCATCGTGAACTCTTTTATCAAGTCTTTTGTTGGGCTCAATTTTGATTGAGTCCACCCTGTCCCTGAAAGACACAAATGCATGTCTTCTACTTGACTCTGTTGTCTTAGTCTTTGGCATGGCACGTGTGAACAGTTGATACTATATTGAGCTTAGGTATAAGTTGTAGAGCCATAACATGCAGATGGTACGAAAAAAAAATTGAAGGAAGAAGAGAAGAGGAGAGAAGAGCATCTCTCTAGTAAGTGCTACCAATTGATCTCACAAAAGTTTAGAAAATTACGATCGCACACACTACACACCCAACTATTCAACACTACAGTAATCTTTTACTTACTTGATTACAAATACTAACACATCCAACCACAACTGCATACCTACTGTATAACAACAGTTCAATTAACAAGAATTCTAAACACGCCGTCAAACATTAGCATCCCCTTACCGATTATCGTTTGATTTCTTTTCTGTTCAAATCATGTCACAGCAAGATGGAGACGACACCACGCCCCTACTATCAACACACAATGATGCCCCAGAAAATCCATTAATATTGGCAACAACAGCATCATCTAACTCTTTGAATCCCACCACGGACTCAGTTGCATCAAGAAAGAAACAAGGTGCTGCTAATCCCAACCCCAATGTTGTCCCATTAAAACCACATTCCTCCAAAGTTGCCAAATCAAACAAGATTGGACTACAAAGAACAAGCAGAACATCCCAAAAATTGAAACTTTTACCCGAAGATCCCGATTTAGACAGCATGATTAAAGGACAAGTCACATCTGGTGGTGTTGGTGACGATGATGATGACGATGACGACGATGCCGAAGGTGACGATAATTTCGCAACTAGACCTACTCGTGTCTACTCCCAAGTCAAGCGCATCACCAATACGTTTGCACGAAAGGATGCTGAGACGTTGGGGAAACTGCATAGGGATATGTTGCCTAGAGTCACGGCATACTGCACTTGTGCATCTTATCGCATGAAGGATTTGCTCAGATGGTTGAAGGATAGGAAGCGGATACACAATACGAGTCCCAAGTTGTTTGACGAGTGTTTGTATACGCCATTCACGTATAAGGATTGGCGAAATGATAGCAATTCTAACAACAATGATGCGGATGATGGAAATGGCCACAAGTTGATCAGATTAGCTGATGAAGGTGGGGAAATCAATATTGGGAAACGATCTGACTTGTTTGTGTTTGAGTATGGAGTGGTTATTATGTGGGGTTTTACCCAGAAGGAAGAAGCTGCATTTTTGGACGATTTGGCCAAATTTGAAAGTGAGAAACTATCAGCTGAGGATATTCAAGTTGAGGAATTTAACTACTACATTACCAAGTCATATCAACCACGAATCTACAACGACTTCATAACGTTGAAAGATGATGAGAACTACATGTTGAAACTCTCCATATCCCATGCACTTGCCCAGTCAGTCAAGATCTCCCTTTTTGAAGAGTTGGTTGATAATACAATTGAAGATACGCAAGATATACCGCAACAGATTGCCCATACTGGTAAAGTTGAAATGTCAAGAGACGAAATCATGAAGTCCATTGGAGAATTGTTCATTTTGCGAATAAATATCAACTTGCATGGATCAGTATTGGACTCTCCAGAATTGATGTGGGCCGAACCCCATTTAGAACCTATTTATCAGGCAACAAGGGGGTACCTTGAGATTAATCAAAGGGTTGAGTTGTTGAATCAGCGTCTCGAGGTGATTTCTGACTTGTTGCAGTTGTTGAAGGAGCAGTTGGGTCATTCGCATGAGGAGAACTTGGAGTTTATAGTTGTTGTTTTGGTTGGTGTTGAGGTTTTGGTTAGTATTATAAATATCATCATTGATGTTTTGACGTACAAGAGGTAAAAAAAAAGAAAGGGGGGGGGAAGTGAGGAGATTTTGTTAGTTTGATTTATTTTGCAGTGCAGAATAGAAATAAAACGAGAATATAACGAGGATATTGATTTGATTCACTGTAGATGTGACTAGGACGGTCTATACAATGTAACAGTTGTCAAGATCTTACAAAGTCTAGTTAAAAATGAAAAAAAAAAAAATTTGCAAAATGTATTGAGATAATCTTTTATCTAAACAGTGAAGAGCTTTTTCTATATGTTGCAAAAGGCTACAGCTCTGGATTGCCAATCTCCCGTCTTTTAATATCGCCTCTGACCAAACTTTATCTTCAATCCCCTTTAAATTTCTTTTCGGCGGTGGTTCCATCTTTTATAAAGTCAAGAAATCTATTACCATACTCCTTCGGAGGTACTGCTGATATCGTGCTTCTATTCTGGCCAAACGATCTGAAAAACGTCTCCAATCGCTTCCTCACCGAGTAATAAGTCAAACAGTCAATTATTCCAAGATAATAAATCTCCGGTAGTGGTTGATTTTGAGCATTGGTGGCTTGGATTCCCCCATCTTGTCTGTAAAAATAATTCAAATTCTCCTCAGGGGTTGACTCTTCGTATTGATCTCTATTGCTATATCCCGTCTTATTGTTGCATATCCCCAAAAGTAACAGATAATCCATGATCCCATTCTTGATCAAAAATGCAACATCAGAATCCAATTGTTTGAAAAACTGGTTGCGAATCTCTGGACCAAAATGTATCTTTAATTTTGACTCTAGAAAATTGTTATCTTTCAAAGTATGTCTTTTCTTACCCTTTGTTACTGGTGTATATCTCCCCGCGGTACTTCCCTTCAAGTCAAAAGTTTGACTCAATATGGCATTTGGTGGGAAAAGGTTATTCATAATAACAAAATGATGCGTTCTGGTTTTCCCCTTACTTGTTCTCACTTTAACTCGATGCAATCCGTAAAATTGGCTAATTAGGGTGTTTTTATTCTTGCCCACATGGTCAACATACGATGCCAAAATCTGTTGCAAAAATTTAAACTCATTGTACCGCAATGTCTTGATGATGTATACTTTATCCTTACTAAAGTAAAACAATGAGCCGGATTTGCCTTCCGATTTGATCTGTGACACAATCAATTGTCCCGTGATGGATATGAGATAGTTTGCTTGATCGATATTGAACTGGTCTCGAAGCCAACGAAACACTTGAGGTGCATAATCATAGAATCGGAAATCGTAATTTGAGGCTGGAGTAATGGTATCATTGTCTTGGAATGTAAATTTCTGTACCTGACTGAAATCAGAGGGTGATATTTTGCGAACCCCCATTGCTTTGTAACTGACGGCAACCCTTATTCCCGTCAACATGCAGTATAAAACTTTGTAAGTCTCCCCCTCAGCTCTGCTGGTGGCTTGCTCTTCAAGGTTTTTGATTTGTACCACTCTTTTCTGATGAACGTTGGACTGTTCCATTTGGATGGAATCAGTAGTTGTGGTCCTTGGGAGCCCTTGTCGTTGTTGGTCAGTTAAAGGATGGGCGAAAGGAGTATTGCTAACGATTGACTCTTTTCTGTGATCTTCTGGTTCTTCTGGTAGTAGTGATTGAGGAATAAGTTGCGCAGGAGCAGGAGTAGTGTTGGTGGTGGTGGTGGTGGGTTCTGCATGAGTTATGGTGCTGTTATCAAGCTCATTTCCTTTAAACACCCACTTTACGTCACTATCATGGGGATGGTGGTACTCTTTCGGTATCGTTAATGGGTCTGATTCGATAACATCAGAAAAAGTCATCAAGTCATTCAATTTTGGTGACAAGTTAGTTGTTGTGTCTTCATCTCTATGTTTGCTGTCAAAGTAGTAATCAAAAGAAGGTGGTGATGTGGTGCGTGTGTTTCTACTTTCTGACAAATCGTCCGAATTTGCTGGTGACTCGTGGTGGGACTGTAGTATAGTATCATTTGATGTGCTATTCTTTGATTTGTTCTTGTATCGTGGCGTGTGAAGATGGTAATCATCGGTTACCAACTCTGTAGATAAATCAATCATACTGTTTGATGCAAGTGGGATACTGTGTCTTGAACGATAGAGCCCTTTTGAAAATGCTGTTTCTGTATTTCCTCTTTGGTGTACAGAAGTTGGTGTTGGGGTATGAAGTGTGTCTACTGTTGTTTTGTTATTCCGCTTTCTTTAATTTCAATGAATATGTACTTCAGAGACAGATGTTTAATCTAGGAAAGTTTAGTTGGCGGGTAGTGTGTACTGTCAGTGTTTATTGACTGATCAGGTGATGCTGATGATGAAGAACAACTGTAGTGTGTTTTGAGATGGGTATTACTCCTATGATGATGTAGAATGACAATAATACTATTGAAATAGATATTGAAAGAAAGAAAAAAGAAAAAAGAAAAAAAAAAAAAAAAAAAAAAAAAAA